CTATAATTATCTCGCTATCAGCGGACGTTAGTTGACTACTATCAATCATATGACTCAATCAAAATCCGTTATAGTTATAGGGGCGAGGAGGGACATTCGGAAGTTCAACATGCTTGGAGTTAGCTCGTGAGTCTTTTGTTTGATTGGATATGCGCTTATGAGTACACCAGGTAGAGGTTATAAGGTAACCGGTCTCGATAAGCACGCATATCCGTCACTTATCAGTGCTGGGAATGATCTCAATAAGATTGTCAGAACCGAGTATGCTGACCCTCTTTATGCACATCTAGCATCTGAGGCGATCGAGGCGTGGAAAAGCGACAATGTATTCAATTCACACTTTCATCAAACTGGCTGGCTGGTTTGTACAAGTGACAAGCGGTCACTTACAGCTCAAAACCTTATCTACAAGCCTTATGAAGTCCTCAAACAGACAGATCTCAAAGATAAGATTAAATTAATCGATACCCCGGAAGAGATCCTCAAATACACCCCTCAATTACAACAAGCTTACGATAATGGGACCATCAAAGATTGGATTGGTATGTGGAATTCAAATAACGGTTGGTGCATGGCACATGATGCCGTAAGATCGGCATGTGATGAAGCACAATTGCTTGGTGTTGAGTTCATATCGGGAGAGAATGGAACGGTAATTGACATCTACAAAGATGGACAGGGTGCCGTCGTCAAATGTAAGGATGGATCTGTGCACCACGCTGACTATGCCATCTTATGTGCTGGTGCTTGGGCAGATACTTTAATTGACCTCGAAGGCCGCTGTACAGCTCGTTGTTGGACAGTAGGGCATATACAGCTCACCCCAGATGAAGCCAAGCTATTCAGAAATATGCCGATTGTTGATCACTCAGACCTTGGTTTCTTTTTTGAGCCCTCTATTGATGGCAAAATCAAGTTTGCGAATGCATTTCCAGGCTACACCAATTACCAGCACCTTCCAAGTACAGATAGATACACTAGTATACCATCAGATGTCAAATTTAAAGTGACAAACGAAGCTTTTGAAGCGTTAACGAAGTTTAAAGATGCTATTCTCCCTCAGTTTGCTAGTAAAGAACTCATTGACACAATGGTTTGCTGGTGTCTCGATTCAGACGATGGTAATTGGATTATTGACTTCTATAAAAACAATGAAAAACTCCTTGTCGCTAGTGGAGATTCCGGAATGGCATTCAAGTTCCTGCCAACGATTGGTAAATATATTTCAGATGCTCTAGAGAAGAAACTGTCTCCTGAAAAGTATGATGCTTGGAGATGGCGTCAAATGAAGAAAGAAAGGGATAATACACGTCCAGGCGGTGACTCTAAAGATCTGCAGGATTTTCCTGAATGGTCTCTTGAGGTTAAATGAAATGTAAATTTATAGTTCTTCATATACATTACATTGACTCATTTCATATTGTGTGAGAATAAGCGAAGAATATTGTACATTTATGAATACAACTAATTATTGCGATAAATGCACACCAGTTTACTTCACAATAACCTTGTCTTTCTCTCTCGCATCGTCAGTATTCTCGTTATGTGCTACTACTTCATCTTGAGACATTGCAATTGTCTGACCTTCCTTAGGAACGGATCTGAGCGCAAATACCATTGGAAAAACGCTAACTAGAAGTAAGCCAAAATTAGCACCAAACCCGGCCCAAAGTGGCACGTTATCTGCAGACATCAACCCATAGCTGACTGCTTGTCCTATGGAATGATTAGATCACCATGGTAGACAAAAAGCTTTCGCACACCTGCTGCTTCTATTGCCCTAAAGACACCTCCCATACGAGTGTTTGATTGTACATCACTACCGAATGATGAAATCAACCAATAACAAAATGATTGCTGCATTGGTCCAGCAGATTGTATAAAGAACTAAAAATTGTCAGAAAAAGTAAGTTTCATTTGAAATAACTTACATATGGTAAAAACGAACGAGGATAGTCGCTAGACGACCAGTCGATACTCACATTTGGTGTTCTCGTAAGATCTGACAGAACTACGAGCGTCCAAATGTATGTGCCAATGCAACATGAGCAGACAACTATGAAACCAAGGTATGCTCTGTAACGTTGATTCAACGATTGCATATCCAACAAGAAACCTAATCCAAAACAAGCAATAATGCAAAGTGTGGGACTAATCAGTGATGAGAGTGCCCTTGCTCTAACGGAAAAAAACTCTGTGAGATATGTTCCATATGGCTAAGAGAGTTAGATAGAAGCTGATGAAAACTTTCAGCTTACTGAAATATAGAAAAAAGAATAAAAGGAAAACATCGCAATTAAACCAATTATTGGTGTTAATACAGTACCATTTAGTAGCATGTTTAGCTCTTGCTTTAGTGGAAGCTTGTCACCAGCTCTAATCACGGTACCATCTTTACGTTGAACTTGTTCTGGATGTTTAATCAGCAAAGCGGCTGGTAGCCCAAGACATTCTATAGCTATAAATACGAAGTAAATGTTTGGATTAACACTTCCACTACTGCTTGTTTGCGAATTAAGTGCAAGATTAATTGCACCACCAACAAGCTGACCTAAGTTCCTGCCAACAATCCAGATAGCCAGCATTGCACCACGTTTGTTTGTTTCTGGTAAACTCAGAACGAGACCAGCTTCAGCAATGTAAAAGCAACCACTGCCGATACCAGCTATAGCCTCAGCGACGACAAGAAACGGTCCAGCTTTGGCCCATCGAGATACTACGTAAAGGGCTATACCTTCTAATGGAAATGTTATACTACCTATAACAAGTGTAGTTTTCAAACCTAGTTTGCTGACAATCGGGCCACCGAATAAGGTTACTACAAACATAATAGCATAGAATAGAGCTTCAGCTAGATTCCAAAGATCAGCGGAAGCCATTCCACCGCCTCCAAGGCCGTTTATGGCGTCACTTTGGCTATATCAAACGCGTCAATGACAAAAAAGGCCTTGAAAGATATATCGTACTCACGCTGGCCCAGAAAAAGCGATAACTGATATAATTATCATTTGAAATACTGTACTCTTAAAGAACGGTACCTTGACCTTGTTCAGGACAGGTATTCCATCGTCCCTTCCATTGTCAAAATTATTATCAATGTCGTTAGCTATAGTTACTTGGGTACCATCCACGTTATTCTTTTCTACGTCTTTGTAATTGTTCATTTATACTGGTGTATGAGAAAGTAATGAATGTATAGTGGTGCAGTGTCATTTTACTTATATCAGCTGCTTATCTTCAGTTTTAATGTTTAGTAGGGGCCTAATATATTTGCCGTGAATCAGCGTACCGAGTGAGCTCATAAGCTTATCGTTCATAATGATAACGAAGATGCTAGATAGGCTGTCTTCTAATCTATTAATAAATATTCTGCCATCAATAATTCCACAGTACTTATATATGGACTAATTAATGTGGTCAATATATTTTAGTTATCACCTGCTGATTCAGTCACGATTCGACTTAATATAAGTCAGAGCTAAAACTGTACGGTACGGCGTGTTTGGTGTTGCATGTTCTAAGCAAAACTTCGATCCTCCTAGGTAGATCATTCAAGCAACGCCTATTTATTCGTCGGATTAAATATAATGGCAGATATGCAATATGTACACGAGGCGCGACCGAGTCAAGTGCATAGGAACTGACATTGCTATAAATAACTAGCTTATTGGTAATAGCTAATGTGACATGTCTAAATTTACTACAAATATTAGTGAAACACACAACATCGAATAAAAAAAATCAGCGTATATATCAGCATTTGTTCAGCATGTAGTTTTACTGATAGCCGTCTGTATCCGCACACTTATTTTTTTTACTTGTCAGCCTTTATCTTCGTGATTATCCTTATCATTCCTCTTATCTTCGTACCTTGTCATCATCCTCCTTCTTCAAGACTTTACCATACTTGTAAGCAGACTTCTTTTGGTCTTTTGCGTCTTTGCTATCATACCTTTCTCGCTTTTATGGTATGTCTTGCTATGTTTCTCATATTTCTCGTCATCCTTTTGTCAACTTTCTTATCCCATTTTGCATATATCTTATCATCCTGCTTTTTATCTCCTCCGTAGACATCCTTGACATCTCTTCTATCATGTTTGTCATCCTTATCAACATTTTTATTACCCTGTTTATCATCGTGCTCTTCTATGTAAATCACTTAAATTTGAGTTAGACTAGTTTGCAGGCCTGACATCATAATTGATTTTGGCTTTATTCTTAAAGATTCTAGAATACTTCTTGTTATTTTTGTTGTCATAATGTTTGTCGACACCAGCAAACCCTGAAATGTACTGAATACCTTGCTTTGTTATCCTCGTGTTTTGAGTCATGATTTTAACGTTAATTTCATTTTTAAAGTGGCTTCTCTGGTAAGTTGAGGCTGCTGTCCAATTTCCTTTTGATGCTCCCTAAGTTATTCATCGTACAATTCCTTTTAATGTTTTTGATATCGCTTGTAGCCAATACTTTAGCAGCTTTATGTTGGACAATGCCCTGGTTAGCTGTAGCCACAGCGGAAAAACATAGATGCGACAGTGCCCATAAATACTAGGACAGTGATTACTTTGAAAGTATTGAAGAACAAACTTACTATGATCGTACTGTAGAGAAGAGGCTTTCAGATATTATTATGGGCAGTTGTTCACTCTATGTTCATGTTCCCGCAGTTCGTATTATGCTGACGATCTGGGATGCAAATACCAATACGACTTGCCAGTCTGTGCAATTCTCATTGGCAAGCCTATTTATATGGCACTACTGAATGTGTCATTATGATTATACTGAGAGATGGTACATCCCACAAGATGTGAGGAAATGTCTTAAATTGAGAAATAATACTTTATATTAGACATATAGTGCTATTGAAGATGTTATTGAAGCTGCTATGATACTAAACAATCCTACACATTAAACATAGAAGGTAATAACAGTCAGAGAAAATATAACATCAGAGCATTCTATTCAAGATATACAGCGATTATAACGAAGAGAGCCTTCATCTGTTATTCCTTTTATAGCACTAACTGTGCTTTCCTCAGCTTTGTTATGCTCCACCTGAGTCTTGAAATGTGAGATCTGATATTCAAGCCAGCGAAACCTGCAATTCTCAATCATCCTTGAAATTCCATAAACAATAGTTTAGGGTGTACTAATAAGATAATCATTCTTAGGTTCCTTCTATTCTAGGAGTTGACTGTCAATGATATTGAAGACACGGGGTCATTCAGTTTTATAAATCTTTATGGTTACTAGTAGAACATAATTCTTCCAGCTTTACTTCAAGTAAAGCTTAAAGTTACTTGACCTTGAATTGGTCCATGACAGCTAATAATCTACGTGCAACATTAGCAAGTTTGTAGTGACAATAGTGAAAGCAGACAAGGCAAGTGTAATTCATTTCAAAATACAGGATACACTTTAGCCCCAATTATAAGCCGAGTGTGATTCAGGATACCTGCCACCCTGAATTTCTATTTTATTGATGACGTCTTGCAAATGGTTCATGTCCTCATCAGATAGTGTTATGCTATCGTTGAGGTTCTCCTCTACACGTTTTACTGAACTTGCGCCAGGTATCGGGATAATTGCAGGTAAGCCATTCCAGTTTGAATGGTGTTTCACCCAACCAATTGCGATCTGAGCTGGTGTACAGTCTTTTTTGGTTGCCAGCTTCTCAACTTCTGCTACTAGTTTCAAGTTTTCTGCGATATTTTCATCTTGAAGACGTGGTGAAACTTTTGCTATTCCCCTTGCATCTTCTTTACTTCTTATTTTGCCACTAAGCAGACCCCTGCCAATCGGACTGTAATAATGGTTAGTTGTTTAGTTTGTTTTGTTCCATAACACGTACCTGTAGGCATATATTGGGATATTGTAATCAGCACATGCTCTTGCTACACCATTATGAAGTATATCAGTCGATGCCATACTAAATTCGACCTCTACTGATGATATCTTTGTTCCTAATTCCTTGGCTGCCTCTGCAGCCTCCCGAATAGTCTTTTCGCCAACCTCTGACAAGCTTAGTGCACCAATTTTGCCTTCTTCCTCGAGTCTGGCGAGATTTTCGATAATTTCTGTAGGTGAAACATTAGGGTCGCGTCTTGCTTGTTCAAATTGGTCGATTTTCTTGACGCCATCGAGAATAGCATTGCACTTGTCGACAGATGCAGAAAGACCTTCATACGAGCCATCTGGTTTGAATGTCTGCAAGTTCATACCACCCTTAATACAAAGAATGACTTTATCAACATCTTCAGGATATCTGGTGAAATAAGCCTTCAAGAGATGTAAAGAGTTATGTCTGACTTGCTGTTAGTTACTATCGATGCAACATATTGTTAATTTACTCTGGTGGTCCGTAAAACTCTCCTGGACGTTATCTGAGCGGGAAAACGATGGAATTCCTCCGAACATACCTCCATTCCAAGTAACAGGGTGGCCTTTTGCGACCTCAATACTCTTTTTCATTACTTCTAAAGCCTGCATATCGCTAAGATTGGTATTACACCCTTACATTCTTAAAACACGTACAGTATCTATTGGCGTAGGTGTATCAGTCCAGGTCATTCCTACAATAACATAAACCGCTTAATATGTAAACGATAGTCTAATGGACATAGCATACCCATTAGTCCATGACCAATACCTCTTACATCCTTGTCGAGTATGTTTGGCATGATGTGTATTTGCTGATGACCGTATTGGGTTAAGATAATACTATAAGAGTCATCTCATCATAGATTACTGATGTCATGGTGGTCCGACCCCTTACAGTCGGTCTCCTTACATAAACGTCACCGGCGATTTCAAAATTGAATTTGCATGAAAGGCCTAAAATCAACATAGTGCATGACGATGAAAACTAAAATGATATTCCAGCTAAAAAATGAAATTGATAATAACATCACGGTAATAGTACCAGATGAAGAGAAAGGCTTGACAATACGCACATCAGATCCGAAGATGCATCCGAAGAAGAATTCAAGGAGCTGCACTAGCTGCATAAGTAAGCAAAAAAATTACCAGCAGGTGGACTCAGACGGCGGCATAAAAGAGACATATATCAATTATTGGAGAGTTGTCAATTGTTCATTAGATCAAGGTATTATCAGTTTGTCTGTTCTAACACCAGGCCACAATTCTCTACTCGACTTTAGTGGTATACCAATAGAGCTTTCTACTGAAGAGGTAGATAAAGTAGTGCAATATATTCGGTTCAAATCTAAGTTACGTACCTGTCGTCGATTGAAGGCGCTGGTGAATCCTGTAGGTGGGACTGGAAAAGCTGTTATTTATTGGAACGAAACTGTTTTACCGATATTACGGTCTTCAGGGTGCTACATTGATATGCAAAGTGGGTATATCGTCTTATCTTTCACCAAGACAGATTGTGAACAAACTGTTTAGTTCTAGAGTACAAGGGACATGCTTTTGAAATAGCGAAGAAGTTATTATTAAATTATGACGCAGTCGTGTGCGTAAGTGGCGATGGGATAATGCATGAAGTACTCAATGGGTTTATGTATCATGAAACCCCATCTGACGCTTTGAAGACGCCATTATGCCCCATACCAGCCGGATCCGGTAACGGTATCAGTGTTTGCGTTTTAGGTGAAAAAGATGGTTTTGATCTCAGTATGGCAGCGCTAAATGCAGCCAAAGGCCAAACTATACCGCTTGATTTATTCTCCATCTGGCAAGAACGAAAACGTACCATTTCCTACCTTACTCAAGCCGGTGGTTTGATGGCAAGTTTAGATGTTGGCACAGAAAACTTGCGTTGGATGGGAGATACGCGTTTCACAGTAGGATACCTACGGTCGCTAATCAAGAACGCGCCATGCAATTGCGAAGTATACGTTAATGTTGAAGAGGACAATAAACACGAGATGATCAAATGCTTGCGCGAACGGAAACTAGATGACCCTATTTCCGTTCCGGAGACAGATACATTTCCACCAGTAAAATACAAAAATGGACCTGAGGATGACTGGGTCAAGATTTCTGATGATATATGTTATATATATGCTGGACAGGTGCCGTGGGTGAGCAGAACTTTCAAACAATTCCCTGTCGCTTTACCGGATGACGGTTATATAGACGTAGCTGTACAGCTCAATGTCTCACGTAGGCACAAATTGCTGGCTATGGAAGGAGCTGAAAACGGTGCAATGTTTTTTGATGACTCGCTCAAATATTATAAAGCAAAAGCATATCATGTTAACCCTATCAATAAGAACCAATACCTAGCAGTAGATGGGGAACAACTGCCGCCTTCGCCGTTTACTGTTGAAGTTCTTCCATCTATGGGACGCCTGATCTCGCCATTCAGTTCTTGGAACAACCAATTCTAAATGTATGGATACTCGTCGATAGGCTCAGAGAATGCCATAGTTTGTAATTGCTGTAATCAATACCACAATGTTTCCGGTCACACCATTGACTTAATGTGTTGCATAATATAGTCTATGCATATTTTGGTACCTAATTGCGAGCTCAGAATGACTATATAGGATGGAGGTCTTTCTATTACATTCACAATCATAGCAAACGAGACCGAAATAAATGGAAATTCATGAAAAAGGCAACTCATCTTAAGCAGCCATAGACCTGGGGGATTCCTTATTCAGTACAGACACAGATTTGTTGTGCGTTACAGTATGCACCGCTAGTAATGCCATTTTGGAGCTACAATCATGGTTAGATGGTTTGAGGTTCTCACAATTGCTGGACGTACCTTGCAGCTGGCCAAACAAGCCTCGACACCTCCAACTTGGCAAGAGTCAGCCATAGCTGGTGCGATAATAGCGACGACAGTCAATAAAGCGGCAGTGAACTTGAATTGCATCTATTGTGATTAGGTTAGAAATGGATAAGCTAAGATTTGGAAGAAGCTATTCACTTTTTTTATGAGGAAGACTTGTTGATTGATGAAGAAAAGGAAGAGCCATGTGCTCCCTTTTATACTTCGTCGGAAGACCGTTCACACCCTGAAGTCACCTGTTCTTTGACAGCGTCTGTGCGACGATGCATGACTGTGTCACCTCAGATCTAAAACAATCCTATCGGAAAAACACCAGTGGGGGTAATAGCTTGAGGTGATTACTACTCTGCGAAGTGTAGTTTCTTTGTTTTACAAAGGAAGCCGCTAATTTTGGTACGATAGCCAAGGCATGCATTTGTCCCTTAATTGTGGTGAAGGAAAATTTTAGTCATGTTTGAGAGTTACAATAAAGTTTATATAAAGCCGAGGTAGTGGAGGGTATATTTTCATTTTACGATTTATCCAACACCTTAACACAGGATGGTTTTCTACCATTGGCAATTCAAACGAGGTTGTTAGTCTGAACTCCCAAATATTGCATTTATCTTATATCTCGTCGCGTTGTATTGGAATAATTGACCTTTGCACTCCCCAAACAACCAATTAACAGAAATCTTCCGATGTACGTCACACTGCATAAGCAGGATTTAGTACTCGAGGGTCTCAACTGACTCCGTGATGTTCTGCGCTAAGAACGCCCAGTTGTGAAACAGTTTTTTAAGCGTCTATACTGAACATAGGGGTTTAAGTTTACCCGATATCCATCCCAGTGTAAGCGAAATCTCGGACGTAATTTATCTGTTTGGAATCTTACCTACGCTTCTACCAATATATAGTGATACATTCTGTTCTCCATCAAAGCCACAGTGACTCTAAGCGTTTTGAGTTATACTCCAATAGGTCAACCCTTGATAATCACCCTGAGGATGTCTTGGGTAATCTAATATGGAATGTTCCAATGTACTAAAGGCATAGCTCACTGAAAAAGGTCTTCAAGGCAAAGTTAAAGTCCATCAAGAATACCAGCACATCACTCAGGCTAGTCTCCACTATCGATGATAACAATTTTACCCCAGTGAATATCCATCGGAACCTGTCAATAACAGCTATATCTCATTACAATGCTATAATCGCGATTTTGTACTAAATCTTGCCTCATAAGTGCCTTCTACGGTTATGTTTAAAAGCACTCCTGCAATTGCCCTAATGCTGCCATCGTCGATCTATTCAACACTATTTCTCCGAATCAAGTTTCTCACTTGCACAAAATCTCAGTCGGTGTGAAGAGCTTACTATGAAATATCACTGCGATTGGAAGACACTCGATTTTTACTTCCATATCGTCAAACGCTGAAAAAAAAAATACCAGATTTGATAGCTGACTATAACTTCAAATACAAAGCACAATTTACCACTCTTCCAAATTTCAGGCTCATTCAGGATTTAAGGTTCTTTTACACTCGGTGTATCAAGAAATTCAGAGTGCCGCCTTATATTCTCCGAAATGGTGCAGGTGAGTTCAGCAGCTGTCTGTATTAAGCATATGCAAACTGGCCATTCTAGGCAGGTCTGGTGAATGGGACAGTGGTGATGTTTAGATATATGTCCTGGATAACAAAATCAGAAGTGCGAGTGTTAAGAGTGCGCTATTGTTGAACACTATGACGACAAATTTTTAATGCACCATAAAATTAACGATGGTACTATGCGTTGTAGAGGAAATACTCGCAGCAATCAATGAGAACATTACGTACCAGATAAACTGAAACAAGGGTGAGACACATTGATTCATCACTTCAATGAAACTCAACGGACATACGTGACACTTATCGGATTGAAAGGTATCACAACCGCAGTAACACTACATAGGTTACTCATCTTATCAGGTAGTTCAACGCGTAACGTGAAATGAGTGCTCTGTATCTCAAACATCATCGCCTCCTCTCAGTAATAGTAAATTGAGTGCGACCTCAAAGACGGGCGAGTAAAAAGAGTAATATATAAAAATAATATACATCTTTGCTTCGGTAGTAACTAAAGGTTTTTTGTTTGGCATGCTACAAAATTAGCGTGTACATCTCGAATGCCATACAGATAGAATAGGGGAAAAGTTATAGACACTAATAATCTAGACTGAGTCATTTATCATTAATGAGAGCAGTACATGCTGCTCTTCCGTTCGAAGATATCTTCCGGGGAGCGCACCATCGCCAGCACAGCAGAATTGTAGAAAATACTCCATTCTCGCACCACAAAGGACGCGTGCAATATACCTACCACTCAAATGCTGGTTTTTGAGGGACGGGAGCAGAAGTAGCAGGGTCAGCACATTCCGTCACTTTATATGGGTCGAATGAGCAGCGCTGCGAGACAGCCAGCAGTGGCCCACCACGATAATGCCATACCGATATAATTCAGCCATGTGGTAATGCCATTCATTATTTATATTGTCTGTATTTTTTACTTTCAGCTATTGTTTCATTTTGCCGCGTCTAAGTCACTGCCCCTCAGCGTGCCATAGCCCCAATAGCAAACACTGCCTACAACGTCATTTTGTACGTGGAGCATATAAGCTTTGCTTTTTAACTACAATGAGTAAATTCACAGTCACGCATCACAGCGGATACGACAAAGTTTACAGTGAGTTGATCGCGTGTATTACGTCTTGCCCTCCACTTACACTATTCAAGGCGGTAAATTTCGAAGTCGACATGAATATAAATACTTGCATCATGAGAGTAAATTCATCACGCGATCATCCGTTACAGAGAGTCTTATAGGTGTTACTGACGATTATTACTCCGTTACGCTTAACGGTCAAACGTTTATCTGGTTCGTTGTTTTGCTTTTACGTATTATTTAGTACAATATTTACTATCGCTCGCAGGGTTCCCAGTGCGCCTCATTACCTCTCCAATAGCGAAGTTGGTGTGCAGATATGGTCAGAGTTGAATGATATGGGCAAATTCGCACTTGTTGATAATACAACGCTCACTGAGGTAGCCTCATACGAGAAACATCATTATTTGGACAATGAAGGCTTCATCATTCTCAAAGATAACCAAAAAGCACATCGACATACATTCATAGCAGTTCTCTTGGCTCTTAGGCCATTCGTAGATTTTGAGGACACTTCTAGCATCTCCAAGAGGGAAGCAAGGCGTGAGGCGAGACGTCGTTCGAGGAAATTCACATCGGAATATCATGGTGGATATGATAATGGAGGATCAGGATTGTTTTAAATTGTTCACATGTACGAGTTTTCCGATTTACTAGTCCAATGATAATACAAGCTCACTATAGTTCTACTAACTGTTTTGTATTATTGTAAAACACCCAAATGTGTAGTACTCCACGTTAGTATGTTAGTCAATATCGTATTGACATCCATTGAGGCGTCTAACCTATAGCACTATTTCCACTGAAATTGTTCTCGATAACACTACTCTAAGCGCACTCAGTGTATCCAGGTATAATTTGTGAATTTGATTTTGATCTGTAGTGTTTGTTCTCTCGCTATTCTTGGATGTAGCGGTGTTGCCTACTAATTTTGGATGAATACGAATAGAACGCCTATGTCTCTCATTTCGTCAATTGTTATTTGACAGCCCGTCGTGCATATTGGCAAGTATATTAACCGATTTACCGAAACGTATAAACGCGCGTCTGTTTTCGGTGAGGAATATTCAACTCATTGTAGAATATACAGATCTGGCACCTTATGTGAGCTGCAATACAAACCCACTTACACCTATTCTGAAAGATTTTAACCACCACTTATATATTTGAGGGCGTTAAGTGTTTTCATTCTGAGAGTTTTCATAGCAGGCAAAAGCTGTTTGCCCTAGTGAGCTCGAATACTCTCGTATATCAATCTATTAAGACATTAAAATAAACCTATGGATTGCAATGTCCATTGAATTATTTTCAATGGCAAATTAAGAGTATTCAAATATGAATTTTTATTCTGTGTATTTTATTAAGCAATCAGAGCTCCCGATATTGGTTCCTGAATAGATAAGCAGATATGAAAGTGTATACAGTCGTAGAGCATGATTCTATTAATTATATGAGCAACTTACTATCAGGGCTAGATAATCAGTTCGTTCACATACCAAGCGATTTTCAAATAGCTTAAGATTATCTCTTATAAATTCCAGTTACTTAATAATAATTGAAAGAGTAAAGTATTCAATATTTTAGTCAAATATAATCTGCTTCCGAATTCATATTACACTGGTTGCCCTGATCGCCTCAGATTTCATTTCAATAATTTTTGGGGCACTAAAATTTCCACGCGAGAGACCTGCATAAAAGGGGACGAGAAGATTATCGTACCTTGTCTTTGTTTGTAGACTTACTAGTTTATCCGTTAATGTTACTTGAGGAGTCATCCACTCTATGCGTCCTAAAAAAAGCAAGTCAGTCTGGGTAAACTTTCTACAATATCTTAAAACAATGCTCAGTAATTAGAGCAAAAGCGAAAAAGAAGTAATTTTGAGTTGCAAACTTTTTTGGTCACTCTTCTTCCTTCTCATCTTCGATTATGGCAGACAGCTCATCAAGCTCGACTTCCATCAATCCTAGGGGCACTTATCTTTTTCATCCACATGGAGACGATGATTTTGAGATGTTTGCTGTAAAACCTGGTCAAAGGATTGACACTTCTGACAGGCTTCCAGTTTTGCACACCAATATTGGCTTCATTAGTAGCAAAATTGAATTACACTCGAACGTCGAAGCGAAATGCATTGCTACTTCTAAGCGGGGAAAGAGGTTTACTGGGAGGAGCAGCTACGAAGTCACAGTAATTGGCTCACCACCAGTTAGCTTAGATAGAGAAAGTAGATGGGGAACATCAAACAGAGTGTTTAACCTCTACGATGACTCACAATGTCGTGTATTAGTCGAATACACAGATTTTACAATAGAGGACGCCGCTAATGGGAGGGTACTTGCTACCTACAAGAGTAAGGCAGGCACAACAAAGAAGGATGGAATTCTCACTCTCTCCGCGAATGATATCGAAAAAGAATCTGTCAAGCTGATTTTTATGGTCGTCCTTGTTGTGAGTATGGTTTCTGCTTGCGAAACAAAGCTAATTGAAATAGATGGTGAAGCTTCTGCGTGATACAGGCAACTATGATGATTTTTCATCGAGCGATTAAACTTAAATACGATCCTTGAAAAAATAAATACCCTAATGGTTCACAAGCGAACAAAATGTCAAAACACGGACATGATCAAACGGATAACCTGTAAATTATTGTACGGAATAATTGGAAATTGAAATATCCTAAAGATTTTTAATTGTTGATTAAGTATAGAGAATGGTGCTAAAAGGGAGAAAATTTCTAGGTTGTTTTTGCCGTAGTGATGAACGTTGTCCGATGTTTTGTGTGCTTCCTTGTTTTTCTGCTATTATTGCATGATAACTAGATTAAACATAGTATCTCTCATATAATTTATTAATAATACCTATCTATACTAACAGCGAGATAAGTTAAAATCTAGCCTATAGTACTATCTGGACTGTATTGATCTCGTGTTGATCCAACCTGCCAGGTTAAATAATGATTTACATAATACGATCATGTTGGTCATGCCGAAATCAATCAAAGGAAGTTAGTAGTGGTGCTAGTGAAGACGAGTTAAGGAAGGCAAACAGTAAACCCTCTCCCGGTACTAGTGAAGACGATAGTCATTCAATTAAATTCATGTAGCCACGTATACCTTTTTATCTCTATTTACTAGAAATTAAGCTGAAGAAACCTTGTCAGTATTTTGACAGATTCCTCTGGAAGTAGAATCTATATTGATGATAGTGTAAATTACTCTGCATCAAAAATTAATAAAATTCAGAATGTAACCTTAGCGATCAATTCGAAATTGGCCACTATCTTTTAATGACGCCATGAAAGTCTCTTCAAAAACTATCAATGTGAAGAGCAGATAGTCAGAAAACCCGCTTAAGAAATATTGGTACTATTATGGTATAGTAACATCTCTAGTATAAAGTAAATACGCTTATCTTATCAATTCAGCGGTTTAAACTTATTTCTCTTGAAATATTTTACTATAATAGTTTACAACGTTGAATAAAGAAGTCTAATGATTGTTATCCGATCTTACTGCCATTCAAAAGCTAACGCATATGACCGCTAGACTGTCTCAGCAAATCTCGAACAACGGCGCCCTGGCGGTACCTGTCGGCTTAAATCATGCCATAATTCTTTCCTGTGTACCATCATGTCAGATCATCCGGGAAGGATGAAAATTGATGAGAAAACGAACTCAGAGGGGGATAACAGCAGCAAGGAAACCCCAATAACTATAGATGAAGGTAGCTCTGCTAGTGTATCGTTCCTGCAACTTTGGAAGTATGCCACGAAGGGAGAGATTATTCTCAATATAATTGGCTTAGTATGTGCTTCTGGCGCTGGTGCCATCCAGCCATCTCTTGGTATGTCCGTGTATTCATTAGAACATATGTTCATTCCTCATAGCCATAATGTTCGGTAACCTCGTTAACGAAATGAACAACTTTTACAACTTCGTCCCTACATACAGGGATGATCCAACTAATCAAGCCAACATCGATGAATTTAATGACAGGAAAAGTACATTCAAAAGTGGCGTCAATTACAACTGCCTTATGTTGTTAGTCATAGCGATTTGCATGTTCGTCGCAACCTATGGCTATTTCTACATCTTTACATACACATCTGAACGCATTTCGAGGAGACTTAGGTTGTTATACTTGCGATCAGTTTTGCGCCAAGACATTGCCTTCTTTGATAAGATCGGAGCCGGTGAGATCGCAACTAGGATAGAAACAGACATGAATTTAATTCAAAGTGGTATTTCTGAAAAGGTTGCACTTGCTTGCATGTTTTTGAGCAGCTTCATAGTTGCTTTCATTATAGCATTTAGCGTACAAGCCCGCATTGCGGGTGTTCTTTTCATAGTCGGTAAGTTGTACAATTAGTAAATCCTAATCAACTTTAAACTTCCATTCAGTTCCATGCATCGCCATTGCGATGGTCGTAATTATCACTTTTATCACTAAATTTGAGGAAAATGCTCTGAAATCAATTGGTGATTCTGGAAATCTTGCTGAAGAATCAATATCTACTATTAGAACAGCAAAAGCCTTTGGTTTACAACTAAACTTATCGTTGCTCTACGATAACTTTCTCTACAAAGCCCGTAAAGAGGGTTTCAAGAATGCCTATATGACGAGTATTGGGTTTGCGTCATTTGATTTTATGGCATATTCAACATATTCTCTGGCTTTCGTTTGGGGTGTAACTTTACTACTGAAAGGCCAGACAGATATTGGCTCAATTATCAAGGTTGTTGAAGCTATCATTGTCGGTGCATTCGGATTAGGTCTGGTTGCACCGCAATTACAAATCATCGCAAAAGGTCAAGCGGCTGCTGCAAAAATCTACGAAACAATTGAAAGGATACCACCTATCGATAGTGCTAGCGAAGATGGACTTAAGCCATCTTCAATTGATGGTAATATCACCTTCAAGGATGTCAATTTTGCATATCCTGCAAGACCTGAGGTTCAAGTAATGAAGAATTTTTCGACGAAGTTTTCGCAAGGTAAATTTACAGCACTGGTTGGTGCATCTGGAAGTGGCAAAAGTACCTCCATAGGTCTCATTGAACGTTTCTATGATCCAAACTCAGGTTTAATAGAACTGGACGGTACTAACATTAGAGATCTCAATGTTAAATGGCTTCGTAGCAAAATTGGTCTTGTTGGTCAAGAACCAGTTTTGTTTAATGATACTGTCAGGGCGAATGTCGAACATGGTTTGATTGGTACCGAGATGGAACATTGGCCAGATGATCAAAAGCTTGAGCTTGTTATTAAAGCCTGTAGGACGGCCAACGCTGATAGCTTCATCCAAGATTTACCCGAAAGATACGATAATACAGTCGGTGAACGAGGAATGCTCTTATCTGGGGGTCAAAAACAACGTGTTGCGATCGCGAGAGCCATTGTATCCGACCCTCCGATATTACTTTTGGATGAAGCAACTGCCGCTTTAGATAGTGCTTCCGAGTCTATTGTCCAAAAGGCACTCGATCAAGCTTCAATGAATCGTACCACAGTTGCTATTGCTCATCGTCTGTCGACTATCAAGAATGCTGATCAGATTATAGTTATGGATCATGGAGAGATTTTGGAAGTCGGTGATCACACTTCACTCACTGCAAAGTCAGATGGCGCTTATTCTCAACTTGTTAGCGCACAACAACTCTCTAATCACATGCGAGTTGACAATATTGACGCAGACACTGATGATCAGTCCATACACGATATGGCGAGTGTAAAGGATAGCGTACGCTCTCCTGGATCAGAAATAATGAATGTAATGGAAGACGTGGACGATTCCAAAAAGTATTCGTGGGGATATCTCCTTAAATCACTGATCAAACTCAACCGCAGCTCGTGGCCTTTATATATGTTTGGCTCTATTGCAGCGATGATTTCCGCTGCTGGGTTCCCTTGTTTCGGTATCGTTTTTGGTTTGATAATGCAAGATCTTAGCTTGAAATCAGTAGATGATGCTGATTACCATTCCTATATGAGGTATCTTTGCTTTTAACAAATAGAACTATTAGTAACAACATTTAGACGTACAACCGACCGTGATTCCCTATGGTTTTTCATCATTGCTTTAGGAATTGGTATTGCCCTTGTTGTTCAAAACTACTGTATGCAGAAATCAGGAGAGAAGCTCACTTTCAATTTAAGACATGAGTCTTTCAAGAAACTACTACGTTCTGATGTCGAATACTTTGATAAAAAGGAAAACAACACAGGCGTTCTCTGCTCAGGTTTGGCTGATAATGCACGTAAAGTACAAGGATTGGCGGGGCTCTCCTCTGGAAGTGTCATGCAATGCCTCTGGACAGTTATTATTGGAGTTGCCGTCGCTCTTGGATATAGTTGGAAATTGGGTCTCGTTGGTACCGCATGTATTCCACTCACTTTCGCGGCTGGTCTCACAGAACTCAAAGTTGTAACTCTTAAGGACAAGTACAACAGAAAAGCGTACGAAGAGAGTGCAAATATGGCATGTGAGGCGTCAGGAGCTATTAGAACTGTTGCAGCACTTACTCGAGAAGACAGTGTTCTTGCTTATTATGATAATCTTCTCTTAAAACCTTACACCACTTCCATCAAATCTGGTGTCTGGAGAAGTGCAGCATATGCGTTAGGACAAGCGTTGAGTTTTGGTTGTATTGCATTAGTGTTTTACGTCGGTGCATTATGGCTTATGGATCTTTCGATGGATTTGCAATCATTTTACGTAACCCTTGAGAGCGTAATTTTCTCTACAATTTTGGCATCAAGAGTATTCACTTATGTTCCCGACATTAGCAGCGCAAGAGGTGGTGCCACACGAATTTTGAAATTGTTAGAACGCGTTGACAAGATCGAGGTAGAACATGACAACAAAGACGGCAAGCACCTTGAGACAATCGAAGGTCACATTACATTTGAGAACGTTCATTTTAGATATCCAACTCGTTCTGATGTACCAGTATTGCGTTCACTTGATTTAGAGATCAAACCAGGTAGCTACGTCGCATTAGTTGGTCCATCTGGTTGCGGTAAAAGCACTACTATTCAGCTCATTGAACGATTCTATGATGCTGTTTGCGGTTCAGTCAAGCTTGATGGTCACGAAGTGAGGGATCTCAACCTGAACAATCTCAGATCACACATGGCACTAGTTTCCCAAGAACCAACGCTCTACGGTGGTACAATAAAGTATAACATTATCATGGGTGCTGTAAAACCACATGAGGAAATATCTCAACAGGAACTGGAGGATGCATGTGCAGACGCCAACATACTCGACTTCATCAAAGGTCTTCCAGATGGGTTTGAGACGCAAGTCGGTGGTAAAGGTACACAATTGTCGGGAGGACAAAAGCAGCGTATTGCCATCGCTAGAGCGCTCATACGAAAACCAAAGATTCTGCTCCTCGATGAGGCTACCAGCGCCCTCGATCAGACGAGCGAGGCTGTCGTTCAAGCTGCATTAGACAAGGTTGCTTCAGGAAGAACAACTATTGCAATTGCCCATAGACTTTCAACCATACAAAAGGCAGATAGGATATATGTCTTCAAAGATGGTAGAGTCAGTCAAGCTGGCACTCACCAGGAGCTCATCGAAGAAAAAGGTGGACTTTATGCTGAACTGGTTGCATTACAATCGCTCTCAAAGAACGATTGAAATAAACAATACATTATCACTACTCATATGTCATTTAGAAGATTCCCATAATTCATTTTGTAGCATCAAATTCATTAAGGATTGGTATTATCACATTACAAAAATGGTATGAGTGCGAACTATCTATATTACTATCCCTATGTTGCTTAAATCTTAATTTCTAAAGTTTGTTGGAATTTGCATTGGCTTCAAGCTAATATTATGTTAGATTGTTCGTCTGTGATAATCTCCAGTAGACTTACAAATGATGCAACAGCATCGAAATCACCTGCTTCTCCAACCGTTTCATAGTTTTCTTCACCGGTGCTGCTTTCATCATCCCTAGAACTTGGGTTCGAGTTTTCATCAGCTTTTTTTGTTGCTGACCATCCAAACAGCATTTCGTCTAGCCACTGCATTGTCGTTTGATTGTTTCCTGTTGTGGAAGGTTCCTTCTGTTGTGATTCATGAGACGACAGAACCCGCTTCTTTTCAAAGTGTTCTATTTGCTTTGGTCCATATTCTTCAATAATATCAGTGAGCTCATTTGATAAAGCGATCCTTTTACTTTTTAACTTTTCTAATTCATTTTCCTTTCCAGGTAATAAAGTAAGGAATAAAGGTGGTAAACTTTTATAGACGTCCATACCAACTTCACCAAACTTGAGAGCCGATATTCCTAGGAATGGAAGTACACATAATGTCCAAAGTGGTGTCCAATTAATCACTTCATCCGACAACCCAAGCAATTTACCATATTTTCTGGTGATAATTGTAGCACTTATGATGTAGAAGAGATAAATCATTGGAAGAAGCGTGAGTGACACAAGTACTTTCCAAGTACCAACTACATCACGAGCCTTGATTTTTACCGTTGATGCAGCTAATGCTTCTTTCGCCTTCTTTTTAGAGATGCACTTCGCAGTAAAAAACACGGGCAAATGTAAGAGAGCACCAGGGAGTGCTAAGGTACCCCAAACAAAAAGCAATTCCATACGATAGAACAACAAACCAGCAGCTTTCCAGAATGATTTCGTAGCGCTATCAACCTGATGATCTCTAATACCTAAATCTTGTAAACGTCTATTGTATTTCAACACCTTATTCCTGAGTTGCTTTATTTTTGGCTCATCTTTATACTCGAGATAGCCTGAAATGAACCTTCTATTGAGTTCTACAACTTGACCAAGGGTCGGATGTTGACCTGGAGCACTATATAACCTTCTACCAGCTTGAATAACCATTAAAGTTTCGTAATCGGGTGCTTGAACTGTCACACTTTTGAGACCATTGTATATAGTGTCCAAAAGCTCGCCACATGCCTTCCTTTTGCTTAAACCACCTTCGTTGAAGAGATTTACCAAATCACGTGATACTTCTCGAGGGGTACCAAATTCAATGACTGCCCTTGAGCGAAATTTGTGCGCATGGAAGTAAGACAGACCTACTGGCACGATTTTTACTTTAAGGTTAGGGTTGTTGGACATTGCACCGAGAGCCATGATTGTAACACCGGCTTTAAGAGGGAGTAAATCAGTCTTATCGTGAGATCCACCTTCAGGAAAGATACCAATACAACCACCATCTTCAAGACGTTTATATACGGAGTCATACATATTCTGTTGATCTATATATGGTAATACTTTGTAATTGATTGCATGATCAACGTTTGCGTCACCAGCAGAAAGTAATACCTTTCGCGATTGTTCCTTGTTAAATTCCTTTTGTAAAACTAGTTCAGTATCACTAATAACTGTAGCTACTTCAGCATGCGCACCACCTAGAGAAGAAGAAAGACTGATTGACATCTTTGATTCGAGTTGTGTAGTAAATTTGGTATCTATACCATAAATGTGAGTTGAAGGTTGATCAGATTTCATGTATATAGTACCATTTCCAGGCTTAGCATCGTCAGCAGCTCTCTTAACTGGTATAGCTTCCATTGCTTTCGCCATGTCTCCTACAAAAATTCTTTTCATCGACTTTTCTGCAACGAGAAAGCTGAGTTTCCTATTGGAAGCTCTCAAAACCTCTGAAGAGAGTAGTAAACCATCTAAGAACTGGTTGTGATGCGGTCCAGCAACGAATATTACTGGTGTATTGTCCTTTGGGATGTTGTAGGTACCCCTAGCTTTGACTTCTCGAAAGAATACGTAAATAATTATTCTCCATAGCTTGACTGCTAAATGATATGGACTCGATTGACTTAAATATGTTAAGAGTAAAACCAACCCTAGAACTGCGAGTTGATGGTACATGTGTGATAAGCGCGATAAGGAGTAATTTCAAATACATTCGGTCATTTTATTGAGTGGAGCCTTAATTACTGCGTCTGCTTAAGGTACTCAAATTGAACCTTGTGTGAAGCATTGAGTAACATATTGCCAAATTGAATAACAAACATTCTAAAGATATATTATCTCAAACGACCTGTGTGATTCACTACATTATCACACAACTCTAAGCAACAGCGAATATCCACATAATCTCAGTAACATATAGTTGTCTAATAAATATCATATATTAAAACTACTAGGCTGCTCATGTTTGTCCTATCTATCAGAGAACTTTAACATGTATCATGATCATGCACGAGAAAAGTTGAGAAGTTTACATAAAATAATAAAATAAACAATGAGAGAGATTAAAAGACATCTTCGTTTTCATTAATCGTATGACGGTAGTTTTCAGTTTGTGAAAAGACAGTCGGAGCCTCAGTTTCCGGAGTATAGAGAGATTGTGGTTTAGAGCCAAACAATGTACTTATTCTGTTCAAGTTCTTCTCATCCAATGACGTTCTGTGCTCGTGTTGGCTCGAAAGCGAAGATCTAGATCTTGGGACAGCCACACCAGGCGACTGTGGAACAGGTGCTGAATCTAATTGTGCTATCGAGAGATGATCAGACTTGTCATCATGAGAAATGAAATACTCACCTGATTGCGTAAGCGCTGGAGACGTAATGCTAGCACGCTCAGCGTCTTCACCAGCTAGTCTCTGCAACACTCTCTTTATGTAAGAGTTGAAAACCTCTCCCAAATCACTTAATTGCTTTTCTATACGTGGTTGCTTTTCTGGATGCTCCTTTTGGAACGTATAAAGATCAGCGATACCTTCTTTATTGGTCGTAGATTCCGAAATCTTATCAAATATCCTTCTGAGACGCTCATTGACTTCGTATTCTTCCTGAGAGGTTTGTGAAGCTTGAAGTTCGCTACCATTTGATGAAGCTGTTGGGACGTTTTTAATACCCAATCCGATTCCACCATCGTTTGCGCTAGGTGGACCTCTATTGAGCAACCTATACAGATAAGTATATACGATTGAGTCCTCTGGGTTTGACACCAGGTCGAGTTTCTCATAGACCTTGTCGTCGTAAACAGCTGAGTGTGCATGTCAGCGGTAAAGTAACATACAAGTTGCCAACTTACAAACTAAACTTTGAATGATAGTCTTAACTGTACGCAATGGCATATCACCAAGTGCAATTTCGTCAGCTGCTCTACTCCGCCATTCAGCTGGTGGAATTTTCTGTAAAAATTGCTCAAGTGTGTAAAGCAATACGCTAGCATCCAATCTCTCAGCTTGTAGGTCATCTTTGACATTTCTTGCTGTTTTCCAAACGCATTTCAAGACCAACTCAGGAAGTTTAGCCTCAGGACTTTCATTTTTTACTCTCAAATCGTGTAAGTTGATAGTAGCAGCTGAAAGTAAGTCGAATAAGGCGCTGAAAATTGCGGTTAGGTCACCATGTGTGAATAACCGAAGTAAAAGCATGTTAATAAACCTTGACAAGTCTTTAAGCGACGGACTATCAGCAGTCTGTAACAATCTTGTCGTAAGCTCTTCCAACAAAAGCCTAATTGAGTCACTTGAAAGTGTTGCCGCTATTGTAGGTGAATCAACTGTGGCATTGAGAGTTTGAATTAAATGTTTGGCAAGTCTGAAGACATTTGGTACCATATCTTCTCTAAGAGCTTCGAAAGTATTGAACATCTACAAACACATTAAATAAATTCAGAAGACTTATCCAAATAGACTCACCTGTGTGGTTATATTTGTGACCAACCTGTCAGCTTGTCTAACCAAATCTTCAGTTGGGCTTTCCAACTTCCGCTGGATGACCTTTAAAGAATCAACACTTCTGTCAGGTTCGTTTGAGAGGATTCCGGCAATTGGGTCAGTCGGTGGGTCATTGTTAAGATTTGAAAGTGAAGAAAAGGCTGACTTCGTTGAAGTGAGTGATGTGGGCCTTGATGTATTGTCTTTAATTGATTGAGAAGCGGAACTATTGCTTGGCTGAGGAAGTGCTGATCCTGCACTTGGTTGAGGTAATCCAGAGGAAGGTTGAGGCAAGGTCGAGGTTCTACCTAGCTGTGATGGTGGACGAATACCTCGAACTCCTCCAATCTTCGACGTAGGTATAGCTTTGCGAGGGGAATCGACAGCAGGAGATTGTGGTCTGTTAACTGTACGTGAGGATGCTCTAGATGAGCTTCTCGAATCAGGTCTACTAGGTGACTCAGCACGGAAGGTACTTGGTTGAGATAATTTGCTAAGCGAAGATGAAGGACGCTGAGCGATCTTGGAACCAACCGCCGCTTTAGCAGGTATGGCAGAACCCCTCTCAGGTTGTCTTTTGAGACGCTCTTCCATCATACTCTTCTCCTTAGGTGGTAGATCACCAACCATAGACCAAACTTGATCACCAACTAACTTGTAAACCTCCACCAAGGTATTCAGGACTGAGTTCCTTACTGAACTATCTCTGTCACTCAAACTGGCACCGATTATCTTTAAAGCCTTGTTTGATGTGAGTACACCCATTCCGTGCCTATTGATGATAGAACCGAGCTCATCGATAGACTCTGATCTTGTTCGAGAATTCTTGCATGTAGTTCCATGATCAATTAACTGATTAAACACTTTACTTGGTGGGTATGAACGACCGAGCAACCTGAGTATACCTCTAATGCGCACTCTAACAGGTTCCTTACCGTCACCAGACTATAACAGATTGTTAGCATAACTAAAGGCTTTTTGAAATAAACATACTTTAACGATCAATGTTGGCAAGAATGCATTCGCTTCATAATCAGTAAGCTGAGCGTTTACTTCATCAACAACCTTCAAAGTTGACTCGATAACCTCAAGAGTACGCAATAAAATACTTGTGTTGTTATCGAACAATCTCAAAGTGACATACTTGAGAATAATATCAACATTTGCAAGAATAAATTGACGGGATTTCTCGACGCCTAGGCCATAATTATCAGAATCACCAAAAGCATCTTGAATTGCATCATTGATGATAGCCAATCCAGCTAAGTAATCAGACTCAGCGTGATGATCTGTACTGAATAACAAATTATGCAATTGTGTGGACAAAAATGGTTGACTTTGATGTTCCAAATAATCGATTTGTTCAGGCCTAATTCCAGCATCACCACCGAGTGTAAATCTAGCATTTCCATCCTTTACAGCTCTTTGACGTTTGCTCATCAAATCTGATGAAGTAAATGGATATGTTGATTGAGATTTTGAAGTCTGAGTGGCAGATGTACTAGCTATTGAGCTTGTTGATGGCTTCTTCATTGGTACTTTAGCTTTAATTCCAAAGCCACCCTCGTCTTCCTCTGGCGCTGGCGCGGCTGTTGATCTGGATAATGCACCAAAGCGACTGCGCATACTACCAGGTGGGCGTATTGATGAAGCATCAGCTGCTGGGGGTGGCATGGCAGTTGGTTTAGCCTTAATAGGCGTACCTGGTCCAGCTGTAGGAGGTGGACGAATCGAACCAGGTACCTTTGGACGTGTTGGAGCGGATGTAGCAGGCCCTGGTGCCGGCATTGGAGCTGCTGTTTTTGGTGGCACCGGTGCTGCAGCGGGCTTGGCTATTCCTTTAGCTGACTGAAGAATTGGAAGTACCGTATTTTTAGCTGCAGGCTTGAGCTTATCTGTCTTGCTTTCAACAAAATCGTAACCAGCACTTGCAATGATGTATGGAAGAAGAGCTTGTGCATTCTTTCTAACATCACCGTTCCTATCCTCCAAAGAACTTATAACTGGTGATGCCAATGGTGCTAAATCAGTTGAACGAGATGGTGGAATCTTTTCAGCGAGGAATACATTAAGCCATTCTAAGACATTCGAACGCAATGTTGGGTTTGGTGATTCCAGGGCAGTACTCAAAGGTGAGACTAATAAATCTATACCTTCACAAGCAGTTGCCATCGCATCCAAGGTTGCGATAGCAGCCGCTCTGACATTAGCTTTCTGGTCACTTGCGATACCTGCAACACCTTGCACAAACGTTTTGACGTACTTTTCGAATGGCTTACCCATACCCAAAGCAATTTTTTGAATGATAGTGAGTGCCATACCTTGTACAATCTTATTTTGATCACCGAGTCTTCCTTTGAGAGCACTACCGAGATCTGGATTCATATTTGGCTGAAGCCTCGAGTTCTGCTTTACGTCTAATACGCCAAGCAATGCCTCAAGTGCTTCTTTACGTGTCTTCCATGCGTCGCTCTTAGATCCTGCTACGGTACCTGCTGGAATTAACTTATCGAGATTTTGACGAGGGAAAAGATCGTCAAGAGCGTCACCACCAGCAGGAGCACTTCCTCCATTCGATGGACCTCCTGCAGCTGGTTTTGCTGCGTCTGCACATGAACGTATAGGCTCAGGTGGTTCTTGACCTTCGACTTTTCCAAATTCTGAATCAATGGTGCTGAGTAACTGTGGATTAAGATCATCTAAGAAGCTTCTAATGTCTGAACCAACGAAAAGCTTCAAGGTGACAAGCGTCTTTGTTGCATTAGTTCTAACCATTGCATTGGCAGACTTCAAGCCAGTCTTTAAAAACTCGATGAGATCCTTTAAAGCCAAACCGGTAATACCAAATTCAGTGAGAAGTTGCTGGACAAACAAGAGAGCGTCAGCCTGAGCCTTTGGCGCTTTGATCTTTGTCATAGCTTCGTACCCTTGACTTAATACGAATTGATGAGATGTTTTCTCTGAGAAGACTGTCAATGTGTCTCCAGCAGGTTTCTTAAGTTTCATATCACCCAGCTTTTCAACTAAAGGTCCGATAGCTAAACTTGCGCAAGCTCTATTGAAAGACTCAGAATTCTCGGCTAGAACACCAAGAAGTGCGAATTGCTTTGCGGAAACTTGGAAATTCTTCTCACTCCAACCAGGCTTTTTGCTCAAGAAACGGAAAAGCACTTCACAAGAAAGTTGTTGGTGGTTTTGATCATCAATACACCACTTGTGTAAATCCTCCATACCTTGTAAACGCTCCTTCCAGTTGCTATCACCTAATTGATTTACGAGAGTTTCTGGTATAACCTCAGTTGCCTTTGCTTCGGCATCTTCAGCTGACATTGAGAACTTTGGTTGTTCAGACGGAGCAACACCACCAGTTGATTTCGGTTTACTGCTGCTAGCTGTTGGGACTGGTGCCGGTGCTGGCTTAGCCGTTGGTTGAGCCACAGATGGAGGTTTCTTGGCAAGTAACCTTGACGGTGGTCCCCTTGAAGTTGGCTTTGCAGGTGAAGCAGGCTTTGCGAAATCATCAAAGTCATCAGATGGTGCAGGAGGTGAGGGCACCTTTGGTTTAGCAGGTACTGCAGCCGGTTTCTTACGATAATCATCAGTAAATATAAATCATGGACTAAGTAACCTACCTTTGGAGCAGTAGCTGGCGCTGGTTTCGCCGGAACTGGTTTTGCAGCTGGCGCTGGAACACCCTTTGGTTTGAATCCAGGTTTGGCCTTGACTTCAGCCTTCTCATAAAACTCCATAACCTTACTCTTGCGCTGACCATCCAGACCCTCAATGATAGGGTTCATCGCGCGCTCTCCGACAATTTTCATTAATGTACCAAGCGATTCGGCTGATGCAGCTCTAACAGGTTCAAAACTGTCTTCTAATGTGGTGGTACATATGCTACCGATTTCTTTTTGCTCGGATAGTGTTGGTGGAAGCTTAGTATTCTTGAGAGCCCTAACAAGGAATGAAAGAGTACCTTGCTTAACTTGAGGATTCTTATGCTTAGCATATGTTGTAATGTCGTCCATAAATTCAGCAAATCCTGTGGCAGAAAACATTGCATCTAAAGCTCCACCGAGAGCATCAGCAACTGTTGCTTTACGCTCCTTCAGACGTTCAAATAACGGTTTAGAAATTGTGTTCTTGAAACCAGCGAATGTGGGTGCAGGTAAACCTTTTCCAAGTTTCTCTAATACCTGTGCAGCACCAATAACGACGTTAATGTTCAGCTCTGAGATATGCTTAGCCAAAGCATTGATAAGATCAGAATAATCCGATGATGGTTCAACTTTTGGTGCCTTATTGAGTGTCTCTAAGAGTTGATCGATGACCTCCTTTCTTTCCTGCCACTTTTTGCTTTCAATCAAGGTATAAAACTCTGGGTTAAGTGATGCAACTACATCAACTGGTGGTATATCCTCGTTTGGATCGAAACCAAGATCGGCACCATTGTCAACATCTATTGCTTCCTCTGCGGGACCTTCACCACCCACAGCATTATCTACCTCAGCTTGAGCTTTTCTGGTGAGACGTGTTGGCTTTCCTGTACCAGCACCTTTGCCTTCGCTATCTAACTTCTCGAAACCTTCCTTCAGTTCTTTCACCTGAACCGGCTTGAGTTCCTCGAGAAGCGGGAATAATGATTGACCCAAATAGGTATATATTGATTGAGTGAGTAGAGTGCCCTCAGACCTGACTGTCTTGTCTGAGTGACCAAATATCTTTGTGAGCGATTTGAGTAGAGGCTTGGTATTAGATATAGGCTTGAAGCCGAATTGACTATGAATTGTGAATAAAACGCGTTAAATAAATCAAGACACGTACGAGACAAGTTCCTTCAAGGCTGTTACGCAGGTTGCTACCAACTTTGGTTGCTTGGCAGCGAGTGATTCGATGATACTCGACTGTCTTGAGTGTTAGAAAGTATTACTAAAGGGATGTATATCCTCACGATCACTGTATCTGCAGTGCCTTCGACTTCGACGAAAGACAAAGACAACTCGATAGCCTTCAACTTTGTTGCTGGCCTTGAAGCGTTGAAGCCTTTCTCAATCGTTGGTTTAGAAAGTTCACTAGAGAGGCTAGGGAATGATAGTTAGTTTTACGCGTGCGTGGGTAAGTGCAGACGGACCTCGCAGCATTTTGACCTGATTGTTTGAGCAATTCAGTGAGTGCTTCAATACCCTTATCTTGAGCAGCTGCATTTGTGTCTGTGACGAATTTCCTCAGTAACTCGACGTCGCTAAGCCATGGTTTGAAGATCGGATCATCATCAGAGGCGCTCTTCTTGAAATGGTCGATAAGTTCAGTGTATGCGCTCAGCCTTGCTTTCCACGACTTTGATCGTTTGTTAAGATAGCGCTATAAGACTGTCTATAGACTTACTGAATGTTTAACGCGTTCATTTAGTGCTATTTGACTGAAATCTTCTTCTGGCGGCGGTGGGCCGTCCCTAAGAAGTGGATTAGAGTGAATTGTTTGCAGATCTCTAGTAAATTACTTACATCTCTGTATATATTTTATGACTAGGTGATTGTCGTTAATCGAGATGTAAAGGAAAGTGAAGTCACATTTGAAAAGGTAAAATAGATTATATAGGCGATTAATTTATAGACCTTGGTTTACAATATGCTGTGATTCTTCACCACCGTGTATTATCTCGTCCTTTGTTACTAAGCTGTATCCGACATATTTAATATGCTCTTTATCGTCTGTCTCCCATTCGACGTTCTCGTCAGTCGATTTGACGGGCATTATATTACTACCAGGCGCTGAAGCGAACTCCTTCGTGAAAAGACGCTCAACGACTCTCGCAATGGGTTTCGCAAACCAACGACGGGGTGGTGGATAGTTGTCTCGGTAATTTGGCCCTTTGACGAATGTAGACACTGGGCTACCACCTTCAAACCAGGCGAGATGTCCTCCGTACTTGGTGTGGTATATCTCTACGAGTGGATTGACCTTGCACTTGTAGATATCTGAAGGCGAACTCTTGCATTCATCCGCAGCCTCCGGCCAGGCTTCTTTGGAGACTATCGGATCATCCTCAGCATTCAATCCGAGTACTGGTATTTTTATGTTATGGAGATATCCTGTAGATGACGCCCTTTATTCGCGTTATTGTAAAGTAAAGTAGAAAACATACACATACCAGGCGTAATAGGCCTCTGCCGATGGAAATGGGAAGTGTGGTGGATGGCCACCAAGCTTCCGGGTGATTGTGTTATCGAAATCCCTGATAGTAGGCCATTTGAAGGACGCTAATCGAGCGAGATCATCAGCATATACATCTTTAACAGCGTGCTCGTGTGCATTCATTAACTTCTTCAAGCTTTTTCCCATCGCACGATTATAAAGGTAGTGGCCCATATAAGAAGACTCAAGTTGCTCGCTACCTTTGAGTAGATTCCAAGGGTTGGCTAATGAGATAGCAGCTTTGAATGGGCATCTATCGCCCTCCTCACCAATGTATTTTGTCAGAACATTAGCACCCAAACTGAATCCCATACCGATCAGTTCTGCATCCGGATAACAGTTCTTTATGTATAATAACGCAGAGCGTAGGTCGTTGGTTTGTCCGCCAGAGTATAAGAGAGGACTAGTGACTGTCGTATTAGCGCATCCTCTGAAATTGACGACTACAGAAGTGGTATCGTCGGCAACCTGGGAGATGACCGTTCTGACGTAGGACTCGTGTGAGCCACCCGTCAAGCCGTGACATATCACGAGCACCTTGGATTTACCGGGATTATTGAAGTCTAAGGATATTGAACCGGCATCCTTCAAGCTAAGGGTGTGTCTGCGGTAATCAACTCTGTCTATATTTGAAGTATCTAGAATAGTTGAGTAAATAGTCTGCAAGTGTCCATTCGGCAACCAATTTGTCGGTCTATATTCCTTAAATGTATCTTTCACGAGTGCGTCCATGACGACGGAGTATGAGCAAAAATAAGCTGCTTTTCGATCCAAAAAAACACGACCCCTTAAAGTTTAATCATTTAAATAAGAAAAAGTCAAACGATGGGTACTCGCTCTCTACCACTTCCTCGACTATAGACGACTCCAGAGATCACTACAAAGATAAGGAGAAACAGCGCAGAAAGAGGAGAGATGCGAGATCACAGTCTAGCCACGACTCGAAGTCTTCAAATAATAGCAACTCGAAAAAGTCGAAAGATGAGCCTACTTCCGCATTTTTGGTCCAGTTGAAGAGGGCTTATAGGGATATCATGGACACCGAGAATAAATTAATCGACGAGCGCAGGTTAGCTACAACCTCCTCCAAGGTATCCCTTTTCGGTCAAAAGTCGAACGACGACTTGAATTGGATCAGATTAGTAAACAAGCATAAGGCGTTAGTTTCTCTTTACAGCATATCTCTTCTAACCCCTCATAGTCTTGCCGATGCTTATCACAACTTCCTCGCTACTTCTCTTGCTCCTCATACGCCCACTTCTCTCCATGCCTTGCCGCAGAAGTATAATATACCGACGCGTCTATGGCAGAACGCTTTTCATGGTTTATTAGAAAAAATGAGAAGTAGTCTGAATCCCAATAATCCTAATAACACTTTAGATCATCTCTCCGATTTCGTCTACCACGCTTACGCTTTCTATACCAATCTACTCGAGGAACCCGTGCTCTCGCCATTTAAAGCCAGTTGGATAGAAGCACTGGGTGATCTCGCAAGATATAGAATGGCTGTATCTTCCATTGAGTCGGCTAATAGTAGTAACTCGCCGACTAGTCTACCGACAAGCTTTACTACACCAGCACCAGCTAGTCCGAATGAGGCCCGTATAGATGATTCCCAGAATGACCGTCCACCAGCCGCAATGGAGGTCGCCAGTGTTGGTCTTCCAGCACTTAGAGCTGGTGGTTTTGATATAGAAGATCGTCACTTGTGGAGACAAGTTGCTAGAGATTGGTATGGTCAGGGTTTAAGAGACATGCCAGGTGTGTAATTAGCCCGTCTATTTGACTAAT